TAGTAAAGGAACTGGGCGTTGAGCAAGGTGGAGTTCAGTTGCATTGTGACAGTCAGAGTGCTATTTATCTGGCTAAGAACCATGTGTACCATGCGAGAACCAAGCACATTGATGTCAGGTATCACAAGATCAGAGAGTTGATTGCTTCTGGGGAGATACCGTTGCAGAAGGTTCATACTCATGAGATTGCAGCTGATATGTTGACCAAGCCAGTTACTATCAACAAGTTCTTGTATTGCTTGGACTTGTTGAATGTTTGCAGTTGCTAGAGAAGCATGGTGGCCCAACCCACAGTGGTGCAGGTGTAACTCCCAGGTATTTTTCTCCTAAGGGGCTGGATATTCGCCAAGGTGGAGATTTGTTATGGTATGGCTCATATACCATATCGGGACAGACGCTGGATCGAAGCGGAGCAGAGCGGAGCGGAAGAATCTATCCAAATTGGGAAGTTACGTGGGTTGGGGTGCGGGGGCAAAGCCCCGCGGTATGGTACAGGGGTAATGTTGTAATTACATATTGTGCCTAGGTTTACTCCTGGGGTTATAAATAAGCCTGTTAGTAACCCCAGGAGGTAATCCCTCTATTCTGTAACCCTTTTCTGAATAGTGAAAGGAACTCGCCGCTCTGCTCCCGAGGACGTAGGCATCTTTGCCGAACCTCGTTAAATCTTTGTGTTCTTCTGGATTTATGTCGATTCTTGTTTTTCTTCGTCCTATTCTTCTCAACACATCAAAATTTTGATTTTTATATTTATGATCATGAGCGGACGCCGCCCTCAAATTCAAAATTTTGATGCACCTTTTTCGTTTCTAATTTCACCGTTGTGGGTCTGAAGATGTATGCGATTCAATGCCCCAGCGCAAGAAGCTTAATCGGGCTGCTGTGCTATATACTACGTCAAAGCTCGCCGATGGTGCCGCCGAGCCTTTGCAATCTCTACTCAGGTTCGCCCAGCTCTCTCTCCATTAAAAACAACCAATCTTTTCGGCTAACAGCTTTTGAGAAATTTATCTATGCCTTGTTCAAGTTTACTGCGACATGCTGAATTGGTTTTAGGGTTTTGGCAGAAATTACGGCAGCTAATTTGTTCTCGATCTATCACTCAAAATCGAGGAGTATGCGGATCATACTGTAAAGTTATGACAACGATTTGATGTTGGTTGAGGGAATATTTGATTCAGCGTTCAATTAGGTGATTTTATTCGTTTGATAATGAGCTGTAAAATTTAAATTACGACAGTTTATTAAGCCTCGTATTTTACATTCTGTCTCAAAATCCTAACTTGAAACTGATGTCAATGAATTTCCAGCACCCCAAAATTGACATAATGATTTTGGTTTTCCGGCAGTCAATCCTAAATTTAAAAATGTAAAAAAAGAGTTCTTTTAAACCCTCGTGTTCGTGCACAATAAACCTCCAAAATAACTACTTTATTTATATTTAGTTTCAACTATTTCATCTATGTGGTCAAGATTTTGGTACTTCTCCTTTTTATTACTTTGTCATTGCATCGATTCATATCTGCATTGCTCAATCTGCAGGGCATAAATTAACACTATGAATTTATCTCTCTGGGCCATCTTGGGTGCATCTTTGAGCATGACTTGATCATTTGTAGGAATGGATCACCGGTGCATAACCGTCTCAACCAAGTCAATATTGTGTTCTCTGGATATATATTATTTAATACTAGCAGATGCATAATATTAAATATCCAATTTATTGTAAATCTTTCATCATCATTAGTCTTATCCCAACTTTTTAGGTTAACTTAATGGATCCACATTCTTCATTCATTTATATTGAGTGCTGCATGAGGTCTTTAAACGTATGACGTGCTAATCTTTTTGCACAATTTTTATGAAATATGCAATGTAAAACTTGTGCCAATATTTATGAAATGAGTTCAATGGAAAGATATCTATTGGTGAGCTGCGATGGCCACATGGTCATTTAATGAAACAATATCTACATTGATTTATATACTATGTCATCTCTTGTTGCTATTCTATGATTTGATTTGTTTTTATTACTCCCATCATTGAAAAAATCAATCTATCATTTTTGTTTTATTTATTATGCATTTTATATGCTGATAATGAATATTATGACTATATTACTTGTAAATATAAGCATAATTATATTTTTGAACGACCTTGAAATTTTTAGTAACAAAATTGATTCTTTGATGAAAAAGAATCAGTAACTTATTTTTCCTTAATTGAATTAAAAGAATATGTATGTATGTGTGTGCGTGCATGCGTGCGGGCGGGCGTTTGTATCATCAATGATTAAATTAAATGAATTTGTCTGTGTGTGCTTGTGTGTGATGAAATGAATCCAAATTTGAAATTTGTTGGTTATAAAGTGTTTTCCAAAAGTAACACATCATGACCAAACTTGTTCGTGTCAACATGTTGGGAAGGTTTACAAAGGCATCACCCCTAAGTGACATGGTATAAATTAAGATGATTTTATTAAAAATTCTGCAATATTTAGCTATGGCGTCACCCTTAAGTAGCCATGCAAACCTGATTTTGGTGTAAAATGTGGGTTGACTTGTTATAAATTTAAGATTGGATTTTTTATATGACTTTTGAAGATTTTGAGTATGAATATAAGAAAATTGTTGGTCTTAGTATTAGAAGAAGAATAATGTTGCTTGCTTACAAGAACCTAAGTGGAATAGTAAAATTCATTGACATTGGAAAACATTATAACTTATCGTATGCTGGAAATATTAACAAAGGATTGTGGTTGGGATATTAGTAGATATTGTTGAAAGATACAATTATTGAGATGTATTGCGATTAAGCTAATTATTAATGAGTACTTTATGAAAGTGATTAGTGCTTTTTCTTCACTAATTGTATTATAAAATAGTTTATAAAATTAATTTTATGAAGAGATGGATGAACTAATATGACAAAAAATTGAGGAAGAATTATAACTATTATAGGTGATTTAATTGGACATATAAGATATAGTAGGATGAGTTATGATAGATTTTTTGATTGATATAGAATAGAAGATAGAAAGGCAATAAAGAAAGGTATATTTAATTTTGCAGTAGGCCATCATCTTGCATTGGCAAACACATGCTTTATGGAATGAGAAGAACACTATTTTTGTGAAATTTGTCAATTTGTAAGTATAATTTGGCGGGAATTTGAGGATTTATATTCTTTGCAAATTTAGGAAGTGAGCATCAAGTTGAGCACATTATAATTTTGAATTTTGATGCTATTTTAGTGTTCTTAGTTTTTTTTTTTTTTGGGTTTTGTAATTTCATTTCGTTATAAACATTTTCATAATAACAATGTCTATGAGAATGAGATTTATTATCTAATATTTTGATTAATTTTAGTCGCCAAGTTTACTGCCTCTAGTGTAAGAAAGTTGATTTAGCTTTCATCAGAATCCCCAATTTAACAACTTCTAACTCTCTGCTTATTTCATGATTTTAGGGTGGTTGTTGTAGTTCTATGCTTAAAAATACATACGGAGTTTTATTTCTATTCAACCATTAATTTGGATGAATAGTAATATTATTGTTATTGTTTATTTATTTTCTTTCATAATTTACATTGCAACAAAGATTGGATCTAACAAATTGCCATTCTCTTACACATGCTTTCTCATTCTTAATTATAGTAGGAATCTCTACTATTTCCTTCTTTTCATGACTTGGGGTCTATTTGGGGCAGCTGTAGCTTATTGAATAATCTGCTGATAAGCTAGGTGCGGTGACTATTACAATTTTTTATTTTTTTGGAAAAACCAGACCGTTGCCAATAAGCTCCCACTGCACCTGGATAGGTGCGGTGTGAAAACACTGTTTTCTGCATTTTGAAAATAGATAAGCTGCCAAAATGCAGTTTACCCAGACAGTCCAGGTGCGTTTTCAAAACACCACCGCACCAAATAAGCTGCCCCAAACGAGTCCTTAATGTTGCTCATATATAATGGTTGGTTGGTTTTTTTTGTGGCTTGCCCACCGTGGTTGGATTCAAATGGTGGGTTGGTTTCCTTTTACATCTTTCCTATTATTTTTAGAATTTAAAATATATGTTTCTTTTCCTAGAGATTGAACATTCCTGC